TTCTAATTCACAATTGAAAATTATTTCTACTGTATATTTACACTGTACAGTATCTTTTTGTCAAGGCTTAAATAATCATTAACACTTACTGTACTCTATCAACACTTTTTACACTAATTTATATGTCTTTCAATCATATTTTATATCGTTAGTGGAGGCTACACAACTTTTGATGGGAATTCAGCATCAGTGGATGCAACATGGCTTGCAGAGCATTCGTTGCTGGCGGATGCTCCATGACTTGTCGATGGAAATTCAGCATCAGTGGGTGCAGCATATCTTGCAGAGCAATCGTTGCCGGCGGAGGCTGCACACTTATCGATGGGAATTCAGCATCGGCTGGTGCAGCATAGCTTGCAGAGCATTCATTGCCGGCGAAGGCTGCACGACTTGTTGATGGGAATTCAGCATTGGCAGGTGCAGCATAGCTTACAGAGCATTCGTTACTGGCGGAGGCTGCACAACTTGTCGATGGGAATTCAGCATCGGCGGGTGCAGCATAGCTTGCAGAGCATTTGTTGCCGGCGGAGGCTGCACAACTTGTCGATGGGAATTCAGCATCGGCGGGTGCAGCATAGCTTGCAGAGCATTTGTTGCCGGCGGAGGCTGCATGACTTGATGGGAATTCAGCATCGGCGGGTGCAGCATAGCTTGCAGAACATTCATTGCCAGCGGAGGCTGCACGACTTGTTGATGGGAATTCAGCATCCGCGGGTGCAGCATAGCTTGTAGGGTACTCAAGAATGGAGAACTTTTGAAAAAAAAGAAAGAAAGTTTTTTGAAAGAAAGAACTTTTGAAACATGGAGAAAGAAGCAAGAACAGAGGACTTTTAGACATGCAGATTTGTGAACCTCATTCTGTGGACATTCTTGTATCAACACATAAAGCATGCCACAAGAATGAGGGAAGGAGATATACCGTCAGTACTGGATCTAGTATTCACCAGGAAAGAAGAAGAGATATTTGACATCCAGTACCTTCCTCCCTTGGGAAAGAGTGATCACGTCCTGTTAGACATTGATTATGCTTTAAGATATCATCTAGAAGAAAATGGGGACATTTAAACAGTTGATAAACTCGATTTAAGGAGAGGTCACTATGGGGAACTTCAAAATTTTTTTAATGAGTGTAATTGGACAGACTTGTTCCTAAGCAGAGAAGTAAATGAAATGTATGCCAAATTTTTAAAAATATACGAGGAAGGCACACAAACATTCATACCAAAACAGAGATGCAGGGCCAGAAAACAGGATTGGTTCAACAGAAATTGTGAGAGGGCCAGAGACCAAAAGGCACAAAAATGGAATCAGTATAGGAGGAGGCCAAGCCCAAAACATACCAGCAATACAAAGATGCGAGAAATAACTATACGGCAGTAAGGAGAGAGGCAGAAAGAAATTTTGAAAAAGGGATAGCGGATAAATGTAAAACAGAACCGGGCCTATTCTACAAATTCATAAACAACAAATTGCAGATAAAGGATAATATCCAGAGGTTGAAAATGGGAAACAGATTCACGGAAAATGAAAAGGAAATGTGTGAAACATTAAATGAAAAGTTCCAAAGTGTGTTTGTGCAAAATTAAATCTTCAGAGAACCAGACACAATAAGAATTCCAGGGAACAACATAGAGCGGATAGAGGTGTCTAGAGATGAAGTGGAAAATATGCTAAAGGAGCTCAGTAAGAACAAAGCAGCTGGCCCAGATGGCGTTTCACCATGGGTTCTGAGAGAATGTGCATCTGAGCTCAGCATTCCACTTCACCTGATCTTTCAGGCATCCCTGTGTATAGGAATCGTAGCAGACGTGTGGAAACAGGCTAACATAGTTCCAATCTACAAAAGTGGCGGCAGGGAAGGCCCCCCTCAATTATAGACCTGTATCATTGACAAATGTAATAGTGAAAGTATTGGAAAACTAATCAAAATTAAATGGGTAGAACACCTGGAGAGAAATTATATAATATCAGACAGACAGTATGGTTTTCGATCTGGAAGATCCTGTGTATCGAATTTACTCAGTTTCTATGATCGAGCCACAGAAATATTACAGGAAAGAGATGGTTGGGTTGACTGCATCTATCTGGACCTAAAAAAGGCTTTAGACAGAGTTCCACATAAGAGGTTGTTCTGGAAACTGGAAAATATTGGAGGGGTGACAGGTAAGCTTTTAACATGGATGAAAAATTTTCTGACTGATAGAAAAATGAGGGCAGTAATCAGAGGCAATGTATCGGACTGGAGAAATGTCACAAGTGGAGTACCACAGGGCTCAGTTCTTGCACCAGTGATGTTTATTGTCTACATAAATGATCTACCAGTTGGTATACAGAATTATATGAACATGTTTGCTGATGATGCTAAGATAATAGGAAGGATAAGAAACTTAGATGATTGTCATGCCTTTCAAGATGACCTGGACAAAATAAGTATATGGAGCACCACTTGGCAAATGGATTTTAATGTTAATAAATGCCATGTTTTGGAATGTGGAATAGGAGAACATAGACACCACACAACCTATATATTATGTGAGAAATCTTTAAAGAATTCTGATAAAGAAAGAGATCTAGGGGTGGTTCTAGATAGAAAACTATCACCTGAGGACCACATAAAGAATATTGTGCGATGAGCCTATGCCACGCTTTCTAACTTCAGAATTGCTTTTAAATACATGGATGGCGATATACTAAAGAAATTGTTCACGACTTGTTAGGCCAAAGCTAGAATATGCAGCGGTTGTGTGGTGCCCATATCTTAAGAAGCACATCAACAAACTGGAAAAGGTGCAAAGACATGCTACTAAGTGGCTCCCAGAACTGAAGGGCAAGAGCTACGAAGAGAGGTTAGAGGCATTAAATATGCCAAAACTAGAAGACAGAAGAAAGAGAGGTGATATGATCACTACATACAAAATAGTAACAGGAATTGATAAAATCGATAGGGAAGATTTCCTGAGACCTGGAACTTTAAGAACAAGAGGTCATAGATTTAAACTAGCTAAACACAGATGCCAAAGAAATATAAGAGAATTCACTTTCGCAAACAGAGTGGTAGACGGTTGGAACAAGTTAGGTGAGAAGGTGGTGGAGGCCAAGACCGTCAGTAGTTTCAAAGCGTTATATGACAAAGAGTGCGGGGAAGACGGGACACCACGAGCGTAGCTCTCATCCTGTAACTACACCTTGGTAATTACACTTAGGTAATTACTCGTTGCCAGCAGATGCTGCATGACTTGTTGAATTCCCAATGGGTGCTTTCACAAACCGTTGAAATCATGAATTTGTCTATTTTTGTCTGAATCTGATTTTCTCTGGCTAATATTCTGAGACATTGCTCTCAGCCGCGCGAGTTCACAGTAAACAATGCGGTCACATGGCCAGGCACAGTACATTCTAGGTCCGTGGGAAAAAAACCTATTGCCTATACTATAAAAGGTATTTAATAAGAAAACAAAGAATTTTGCTTAATTAACACTTTCGTGCACCCAGCGCGCCACCCCTCAACTGTGCGTAGTGGGTCCCAGCGTTTCACGGTAGCGCGCCTTAATTCTGAAAAGGTGTATACTCTCTTCAACTTTGTCACCTCAATTCTCGTCCTACGAGATTAAATTTGATATCATTGTGTTTGCAATAGAATTCTCTACAGCACTAAATGCATATAAACTCCAAAAGCCCGGCTAATTACCCGCAGCAAACAGAGAAAGTGCGAACGAGTTACCCAGGAGCGCGCAAAAGCGATAAAATGTGTTCACTCTTTTCACTCTGGTCACTTCAATTTTCGTCCTAGGTCTTTCATTTTTGTATCAATGGGTTCGCAATAGAATTCTCTAGAGGAATCTTAGCATATAAAATAAAAAACCTGGTCACGCTCCACCCGCCGACGAGTTGAAGACGGGCCACGCGTTAGCCGTGAGTGAGCGCCCAGACACCTTCCAGCTACACTCCCAATTCCTGCCCACAAATGTTTAGTATTTTTACTGGTTGCTAATCTCAATTTTCGTGTTACAGCGCTCATTTAGGTATGAAATTGTTCCTAATAGAATGCTTTGGATGGATATGTGCATTTAAGGGCCAATTGAAGAACAATATTGCCAGTACAATATGCGAAAGTATGAAAAAAAATATACAAAATAATACAACTTTTTGTACTTACCACCTCAGTGTTGTGTGTTGAACATGACATGGGTTGAACATTTGTTTTATCCACTCCACCTGCTCCTGGAAAATGTTTCCTGCAGGGTCAACCCATGTTTTGTATAGGTGGAGTGGATGGTGGGCAAGCATTACTGCTTATCGGCCCAGAATTTTCTCTTTCGATGGTATCTGCTGTAGCATGGTGCAGGACACAATGCCACATCACACGTCTTGCACTTATAGTGTGTGTCCTTCCTTTTACCCGACAATTTTGCACACACGACACCTCAGACGACTTCCTCAGGCCAGTTACTAGACTTATAGAACAATAGTGCAGCAAGGACTTGTTCATGGAAATGGAGTAATGTCAGTTTCCTTCTATCTGTTGTGTAGTAGTTGTACATCACAAAAGCACTGCAGATAGCCATTTGCACAAAATAGAAGGTAATTCTGTTCGTCCATTTGTGAGTTTTCCTTGTAAAGTGATAATATTTGATCATATGGTCCCTTTCTATAACACCTTTCATGTTTGTATTGTAGTCACAGATTGCATTCGGCTTGTTGACAGTTACCTGCTGCACTGAGGTTGTTCCATCATGATAGGCGCGCATTTTAAAACCAGTCCCAAATAAATTGAATAAAAACCTGATTTTTGGCAATTATTTCAGTGGACGACGCAGCATTGCATCATCACCGAGATTACCGACAGTAAATGGATGACGCAATGCTTCTTCGTCACCGGACGAAAGTGTTAAATTAATAGTGAAGGCATAACATATAATGTGAATAACAGTGCTGACTCCTGTCATCACTGCTAAGAGTTACTCCTGTAATTCTAGTGACCATGCTGCTTTTATTTCCAGATTTATCAAATATATGGCCGAGAAGCTCCTGATGTTGTATATAATGCGTTGAAGACTGCTGGAGCAACACACATTATCCTGGAGGACAGCATTTGCTTTGTTCCTCCTGATGACAAACACCCTCTCTGCAGACTTACAGATATTGTTGACCTTCACAATAGGCATGTAAGTTGCTTTTCAATGTTATTCATATGACTACCTTGAAAGTATATAAACACACTGAAACCTTGGTACTCAAACTTAATTGGTTCCTGAAGGGGGGTCGAGTGCAGATCTGCTTGAGAACTAAACAATTTTCTGGGGGGAGCCCCGTCGGCTCCCCAGAGCTATCCAGGCTGAATGGATATGTATAACTTTTTGGCATCAGTCAATGCATGGAGTTCTTGCCTACCGGGGACCACGAGCCAGAACCTGGCCCCCTCTAGAGAGGCACGAGGAGCAATGGCTTATAGAGACCCCCTTTATGATTGGGAGGATTCTATGTCTGCCATCGACCAGGATAGGCACCCAGAAAGATAGGCGCCCCAAAACAAACCCCTATGCTAGTAAACTATTACGACCGAAGACCAAACAGGTGGACAGAAGTCCCTAAACAAAAATTAGCAAACAAGCATGACGTCATCATGTCGCCGCGCCGCTGTCTGCGCACCCTCCCCCCCCCTCCTCCCCGGGAGGGGGAAGGGGGGAGCCCCAGACCCCACCATCGGCAACCCAACCATTAGTTCTTAGGCTGAGGGGCCTTCCCAGAAGGGTTGTGCCAGGGCTCGGGGCTCTTTTCGTCGGGGTAGGCCTTTAGTGCCAGATTCGGGACTGGTGGCGTCTTCGGTTCCGGCTGTTGCTGGTCGGCGTGGGGACCATCCTGTTCGCCGCTTTGGTTCTCGTAAGGCGCGGTTCGTCCTATTGACGGGGCGAAGGGGGGGCGGCTCGCCCAGTTTGCTCACGCCTGGTCCCACGATTCGTGGGCTTTCCGGGTCGTTTTGTGTGGCCTGTGGTGGCGTTGGGTGGCTGTTCCTCCCTCGGGCGGCGTTGCGGTTTGTTTACATGCGTCTGGGTCTGCGAGCGAGCGTCTCGGGTGAGTTTTCAATATTTTTTCAGGGTTTTTGTTCTCCTGTTGTCGTTTCTTTGTTTTTCTGGTGTTTTCTTGCCGTTGCCTGTTCCTTGCCTTGTTCCAAACGTTGCCTCTGGGAACGTTTGGGTGTTGATTTTACAATGGGTTTTTCCAATTTTTGTGTTTTGGGTCTGAGCCTTTGGGTTTAGGCTCAGTGCCCCTGGCTGGTATGCTTGCTCCCACACCTTGTCCCTCGGTTTTCGGTCTGTTGGGACCATTTTCCCAGGGGGTTCTGCTGGGGGCTGTGTTTTGCCTTTCAGTGGTGGGCCTCCCACGATTCGTGGGCTTTCCGGGTCGTTTTGTGTGGCCTGTGGTGGCGTTGGGTGGCTGTTCCTCCCTCGGGCGGCGTTGCGGTTTGTTTACATGCGTCTGGGTCTGCGAGCGAGCGTCTCGGGTGAGTTTTCAATATTTTTTCAGGGTTTTTGTTCTCCTGTTGTCGTTTCTTTGTTTTTCTGGTGTTTTCTTGCCGTTGCCTGTTCCTTGCCTTGTTCCAAACGTTGCCTCTGGGAACGTTTGGGTGTTGATTTTACAATGGGTTTTTCCAATTTTTGTGTTTTGGGTCTGAGCCTTTGGGTTTAGGCTCAGTGCCCCTGGCTGGTATGCTTGCTCCCACACCTTGTCCCTCGGTTTTCGGTCTGTTGGGACCATTTTCCCAGGGGGTTCTGCTGGGGGCTGTGTTTTGCCTTTCAGTGGTGTTCTCCGCCGGCAAATGTGGTGGTTTGGGCTCCCCCTTGTTCGATCCTGGGTTCCTTTGGGTTCCTTGGTTTCGTTCTGCCCCCTTTTGTGGGTTCAGGGGACTTTGTTTCCTCGTGTGACCCGGTTCTGCCTTCTGGGGTTCCGGGGTCTTCCTGGCTTGCAGACTGATCTTTTTGGGTCTTGGCACATGTTGTGGTTGTGCTGGGACTTTGCAGTTTTGCTGTCAAGGTGGGCCTTTTGATGCAGTTTTGTGCCTTCTTTGCCTGGCCGGCGTGGTGCTCTCTGCCCACTAGTCGGCGACTTGTACTTTTACAATATATGTCCTCACCTAGTTGTGCTTGCGGGGGTTGAGCTCTGGCTCTTTGGTCCCGCCTCTCAACCGTCTCTCAACAGGTAATTACCTAAGTGTAATTACCTAAGTGTAGTTACAGGATGAGAGCTACGCTCGTGGTGTCCCGTCTCCCCAGCACTCTTTGTCATATAATGCTTTGAAATTACTGACGGTTTTGGCCTCCACCACCTTCTCACTTAACTTGTTCCAACCGTCTACCACTCTGTTTACAAAAGTGAATTTTCATATATTTCTCCGGCAGCTTTGTTTCGTTAGTTTAAATCTATGACCTCTTGTTCTTGAAGTTCCGAGTCTCAGGAATTCTTCCCCTATCAATTTTATCTATTCCTGTTACTATTTTGAACGTAGTGATCATATCGCCTCTTTTTCTTCTATCTTCTAGTTTTTGTATATTTAATGCCTCTAATCTCTCCTCGTAGCTCTTGTCCTTCATATATATATGAAGGTGTATAGGTTCCTGTGCCTATTGGGCTCTATCATGTCTACATGTGACATTGTATGGGGGTCAGCCTCGTTACTTGTGTGTGGAGTCACCACATTACTTCCTAGTGCTTTCCCGTTACCATTCTGACACTAAAAAAAAAAAATTCTATCTGTGGCTCTTTTGGGTACTCAGTTTCCACCTGTGTCCCCTAGTGCGTGTGCCCCTTGTGTTACATAGCCTGTCCTTATCAACCCTGTCGATTCCCTTGGGTATCTTGAATGTGGTGATCAGGTCTCCCCTCACTTCATCTTCCAGCGAAGTGTGGTTTAATTCCCGTAGTCTCTCCTCATGACTTAGGTAGTGTACTTTTTCTTTCGGAAGGGGTTCTGTTCCCTTCTCTGTTGACTGGGTGCTGGGGGAGCAGCTTGCTCTGTTGCCTCTCGCTTGGTCCTGCTGTTGGTGGGCGCTTTGGGTTGTCTTCCGGCCTCTGCTGGCGTCGGAGGACGGCTTCTCCCCCTTGGGGGGGTTCAGAGCTGGCGGGGTGGGCTTCTTCCCCTGCGCTTCGTCATTTCCTCTTCGTGGGTGCGTGGGGCGTGGTCGATCCGCCCCATCCTTCTGGGGTTCCCGTCTGCTCTTCTTTGCAGTCATGAGTTTTTCCCGTCTGCAGTTCTTCTGGACTTCTTCAGTCTGCGCCCTGGATCCTATGCCCTCCTCGGAGGACTGTTGTCTCCTGTTCGGATTCTGTTGGGGCCGGGTGCATGGATGGTGGCCCTGGACCTCCAGGTCACTTCTTGGCACGTTCCTCTCCAGTTTTTCTAGGGCTAGCACGGTTGGTGGCGGGGCTTCAGGTTTGCTGTTTTTATTGCCTTCCCTATTTTGTAATGGGCACTTCGTATACTCTTTGCATCTTTACCGGATCTTAGTGCCCTGTCTGAGTCTGAGATTCGGTGTCTGGCCTACCTCAACGACTGGCTGGTGTGGGCTCCCAGTCAGTCCGCTTGTCTGCTCGCCAGGGGATGGTTCTTTCCAGATCGCCGGGTTTGGTTTCCTGGTGATCTGGAGGTTTTTCCATCTGTTTCCGTCCCGGGTTCGGACCTGGGCCTTGTTTAAGGCTCTTGGGCCCCTCATTGTCTTCCCTCCAGAAGTGTTACTGCGGCTGTGGTCCCGCCTTTGGCTGTTCAGGAGGGGGTCCCGTGTTGCTCAGCGGTTGCTTGGGCGGTTGTGCGAGAGTCTGCACTTCGGCGTGCTTGTCTGCCCGCGGAGTCGGGTTTGGCTATGGCGTCTGTTGGTTCCTGCGGAGACTCCCCTTCCGCCTCTTGCATTCATTGGGTTCCTCCGGGGATCTTGTGTTGGTGCTGCGTCACCAGCTTCCTCTTGGGGGTTTTCGGGGTTCCGTGCCTTGGCACTTCCCCGAGCCTTCGCTCGGTGTGTTCACAGACGGGTCGTCTCTCGGCTGGGGCTTTGTGACCAGTGCTCACCAGGTCGGCCGAGGTTGGAGTCTGTCTGTCCGTCGGGCTCACAGCACGGTTCGGGTGTTCATGGCTGTCTGGTTTGCGCTTCGGAGGGTCCGGGTCACTAGGTACTCTACCATTCAGCTCTGTTTGGACTGTTCTCTGGTGGTTCTTGCCGGAACCACAGGGGTTTGGCTAACCGTGAGGTTCGTGACCGGGGTGTGTCCTGCGTCCTGGCGGACAGCTGTCTCGGTTCATTCCTCTTCGTGGGTTGGCCAGTCGTCACCGATTCGTTTTGTTGGCTCTGTCGGGCGTATGGACTCCTGGCCATGGACGTCTTCGGGTCAGTGTGGTCTAGGCGTCGCCCATTTTGTGGCGCCCTTTCCCACCTGCGAGGACTTCACGGTGGATGCTTTCGGCAGGACTGGTCGAGGTGGGGGGTACTTGTTCCTCTTCTCCCGGTCCTGCTGTTGCTTCGGATTCTGGCTCGGTTGCAGCCCATTCCCACGAGAACAGTCCTTATGGTTCCATGGTGGCCGGCCCGGCCTTCTTTTCAGACGCTGCTTGATAGGTGTCCGTACCCGGGGCGTTTTTCCTGAGGCTTCGCCTCTTTCAGCAGGCCGAATCGGTCCTGTCCGTGACTGGTTCGGCCTTCTCCTTGGCTCTTCGCGTCTGGTATTTTGACGCGGGTATCACCATCTCTATGGTGTTCAGGTGGCTTTGTTGACGGTGTCCCACCTGCGAGCTTCGTCTTGGAGACAGTATGACGTTTCTTTCATTTTCTCGTGTTTTGTTTCCCCTCCGGCCTGCTCATGCGTCGCCTGAGCCATCCTGGCCCTTGTTCAGGGTGCCTTCTTATCTTCCCCTCAGTTTGTGGTAGCCCCTTCGGTTCAGTTTCCTGCTCTTTGGTACTGGTGGTAGCTTTATAGGTGTGCAGCCTTTCGCTGTCCTGGCGCCGGTCGAAACGGCTGCTTTCCTGAGGGGTTCTTGGGGGTATTGGTACCTGATTGGTTTGGCCGGGGGGTGCGTCCTGTATTGTCTGGTTGTGCTTTTTGCTGTTGCCGGCGTACCGTGTCTGGGTATGCGCTGTGGTTGATCCGGTTCCTTCGTTCCCTGTTTTCAGGGCTCGGGTCT